TTTCGATCTTTCTCAATCGTTCTTCGTTTAAAATTGCACTATTTCTTTTAGCACAATTATAAATAGCTGAAATAGCTGCGAGTCTGATTTGAATAATTTCAGATGAGAATATTTCTATTATTTTTGCTGAGTCTGTAGTGTCTTTTTCAGTGATTTTATGTACTACACTTGAGACCACATCTGGAGCAGACTTAAATGGGAATAGCAGTGGAAACATTAAAGTATTGATAATTTTCCAATTCTTTCTCTTCTGGTTACACGATGCAATATCTTCAGCAGCCTTTGCTTTTTTATTAGTATTACCGAAAATTTTTATTTCTACATGATCTAGAGAATCTATACAATCTATTAGTACTACTATAGCATTTTCATGTAACATGTGTTTTTTTGATATTTCAAGAAATATAGCGGCAATCATTCTATCTATAAATAGCGGTTGTATGATACTATATACTTGTTGACAAAGCGTTCTGTGTGCAGGAATAACAGAAAATTTTGCTGCATATGCATTTGCAGGCAGCCATTTTTTCTCAGATCCTATAAATTTGGATGGTAAATATACATCCTTATCCATTTTCATCAATGGTTTTCCACTTTTTATTGTGTTATAAAGATGCACAACTTCCTTATAGGTATCCCTAAAGACTGATGTGTCACTTCCATCCTTCTCAGGTACAGTTGGAAGACTTTCTATGTTGGAGTTCATCTTCATGTTCTTATTTAAATTCTTAAATATATTAACTGAATTTAATTTATCAGTTGATTCTTCTGATTGGGTGTTTTTGTATTTATTCTTAGCTGTTTGTTGATTTTTCGTGACAAATTTTTGAGGCATTTTCTTCAAATAACTGACTGATGTCTTTACTCGTACATGAGAATTTTGCCGATAGTTTAAATGATTACCATAGAAATGTCTTTGAAGTTGATCGTTTAAAAAGATTATAGAAGTTTGCTTGAGTTTATTTTCTGATTCTTCAATAATACTATTGATTTCATCAATAAAGTTTTCGTTTATTACATCTTTAGAATCTTTAGCAAAAGAGTTGCTAAGTTGATAGCTCAATGCCCAAACAATCTCAGACTTTACCCCAGCGTCATTATTTTTTCGTAAGATTTCCAGAAGTTCGTTAGGTTTAACATTAGCAGTGTTATTTTTTATAGAATATTTTATTGTTTGAGCAAGTAATATTTTAGTATGATCATCAATATTTTCAGCTATTAAATTTTGATAGATTTGATCCCATTTTACCTCTAGTAGACCATGCTTACGTGCAATATGCTTTATCTCGTTTGCTACATGTAAATGAAATGCTCTATCTATTTGATAGCCATTATTGAGCTGACTAACTATTCATTCTTTATTAAAGCTTTTACATTGTTTGCGTAACTCGTCTACAATTTCTTGCGTGTTTCGTTGCAGTTCTCTATAAAATTCTGGAAAAATGAGTTTGATCTGGTCATAAATGTCATTTTTCGAAAACTTGTTCTGCAAACCAGTATCTTGCTGGTGAATCCAGGTCGAGCAATCTGATAGTAGGATCCGATAGGTTCCGTCTCGGATCCTATCGGCATCCTATCGAATTCCTACGAAATTCGGCCGGATCCTATCGGATTTACCCGGAAAACCGGTTGCGGAAATGTGATGGAATCCCTGGTATCGGCAGTCCTATCGGATCCTACTGTCGACATCCGATCGGAAGCTATCGGAAAGGAACCGATCGGAAACCACTTTCGGCAACCAACATTAACCTTAGTAACGCAATCCGATCGATTCCCAGTGTTGATAACCCAGCAAATACCATATTCAAGACCATCAAAACATGTGAACACACAATAAATAATGCACGCAAATGCAAGATAACGATCTTCAATACACAAAATCATCCCAGGGCGATGTATCCGACCTGCAGATCCGGCCGGATCCAGATTTCATGAGGACTTTTCTTGCTTATTACAAGGACAACACCTAGTCATGTTCGGGCCGATCCTATGGTTATCGAGG